AGAGCCGTGGTCGGCAAACCATGGCTCTCGAGCCACATGCAGCTCTTTGGCCCCTTCAGTGTGGCTCTTCCACAAAATACCACGTGCGGGCATGCACGTACAGTGCGATTGAAACTTCGTGGCCCATGCGCAGAAGTCGGTATTTTGTGGAAGAGCTGGTATTTTGTGGAAGAGCCACACTCAAGGGGCCAAAGAGCCGCATGTGGCTTGCAAGCCGCGGTTTGCCGAGCCGCAGTTTGCCAACCACTGCAGACCCGCTGTAGCTTCCCTTAACACAGTTCTACTCTCTCATCCCATTCTCTCTCCCATGTCAATCGACTCTTTGAGGACGCTGTTCGATTTCTAGAGAGTACAACCCGGGACAGCCCTAGCCGGTTTGGCTCAGTGGGGTTTGCCTCAGTGGATAGAGCATCGGCCTGGGACTGAAGGGTCTCGGGTTTAATTCCAGTCAAGGGCTCATGCCTGAGTTTCGGGCTCAATCCCCAGTGTGGGGGGCGTGCAGGAAGCAGACAATCAATGATAATCTCTCATCATTGATGTTTCTATATCTCTCTCCCTCTCCCTTCCTCTCTGAAATCAATTTTTAAAGATATATATTTTAAAAAAAAAACAAGGACTGCCTCCTGAGACATGAGGAAAAATAGTTTCAGCTGCCTTCCAGGAGGGTCACTCAAAACAGGGAATGCCAGGAAATTAAATCCCATGGTTACCCACTGGAAAGGTAGGGGAGCCTCTGCTCAGGGGCCAAGTCTTCTCCATCTGCCTCGAACGGCTGGAAGGACTAGTGATGTCTCCTCATGGCAGGGGGAGGCTATGCACAGGGACAACAAGAGATGGGCAAGACTGACAGCTCATTATCTGGGCCTGGGCCAGTAATGAGGGCTGGAGCCAAAGGGCTGGGTGAGCGCATGCCACCTGCTTAGCAGGCTGCCTATGAGCTACAGGAGCTCCGGGGAGGAGGGAAGAGTAGATGAGAGCCCTCCCCGGGCCCCCTTTAGACCAGGTAGGCTATCAGTACAGGTAGGTGGCCTCGAAGGACGGAGTTGGTGTCAGGGAATCCCATGGTCTCCCACCCAGGGCTGGGCAGGAGCCTGCCCCTGGCTCGAGTTCCTTGCAGTAGGACTCAGCTTGAGGAACAGGCCTTCTAGGATCAGGGTGTGGTTGGGATCTCTGCATGGCTTAGGCTTCAGGATCAATCCCACGATAGGGAAACTAAAGAGGCATCCAAGATTGACAGCTGATGGGTTCCATCAGTGCTCACGTGGCCGTTCGCTTAGACATTAATCATATTGGGGCTACTCCCTATACCCTTCCAGGTCTGCATACCACTGGGGCTTCCAGGGGCTGGGTGGCAGGGCGGGGTTGTCACTTGTCAGGAGGCCTGAGGGACCCTGTCTTCCTTTCCTGGTCTGTACCTTGACCTCCACTTTGGAGCATCTCTACAGGGGCTGGGCCTTTGGGGATTAGAGTATTCTAGAACATTAGGTTCAATTTACCCCAAAAATAATCATGACTAAAATAATAATTTAACATCTAATGAATATTTAGAAAGCATTGTTTTTTATTGAACTGTAACATAATTAAAAACCGTGCTTGCTTGGCAAAAGCAGCTATAAGGTCTGGCCCAGGCAGCTCTGCCCCAATGGCAGCCCCATTGCCCACCCCCTCGCCCCCCTCCCCCAGCGGTCACTGACCTGTATGTGACTCCTTGGGTTAGGGGACCAGGAGGGCATCAAGCCAGGTGGCCTGGAGACATGGTCCTGTGTGTCCTGTCTCCAGGTGTGATCATCACTCCACAGCCTAGTGTTGACATGATAACCACCCACATATCCCATGATCCCATCTTCTAATTCCCCAGAGAAACTGGCTATATTTTGTTTAACAATAAATTTCCCAATTTTTAAATACTGTCAACAAAGTAAGGTATTTTTAAAATACTGCGTGGCCCTAACAAGTGCCTTTCTGGGCTGGTTTTGCCCAAGGACCACCCATCAGTGACCCCTGGCTCCTCAGGGGCAGACGACATCTAGCCTCTTCCCCAGGGAAGAGTTTCATGGATTATTACTATTTTTGTGCTTACCAAGGTGGTTCTGAAGGTGAGCTGTCCCTGCTTGTTAGAAATGCAAAGAAATAAATGTGTAAAAATAGAATAGCAATTCCTCAAACCCCCATCAGATTTAAGTCACCGATCTGTCCTCTGGGAGCAACAAGGATGTTCCTGAATCATCTCCAAGAAGCCCAGCAGGGCACTGGCTCTTCAGGGGATGCTGCACACCTGCCTCCCCAGAGCTGCCCTGGCCGCATGCATGTGTCTGCACATATACTCAGTGCGCAGGGGACTGCAGGGCGGGGAGGGGGAACACAAGAACCCCAGGACATGCAGGAATGCAAGATGCTACTCAGTCCTGACCCAACTGACTCCTCTTCTCTGTTTCTCCACACTCTGCTTCTCCTGTACCTCCCGCATCCCACTTTTTCTTAGAGCACCATGGAGTCCACTTTCTCTGCTTAGTCTCTGTGCTGTGACCTAGTTGCAGGTTTGCACCTCAAAGCTAACAGACAGCAGGTGTAAAGGAGAAAGCTCCTGGCTGAGTCAGCCATGCTGGGGGTTCCATCAGTCCTCCTGTCTATAAAATGGGGACAATTATGCACACCAAAAATGCCTGTTGCCTGTACTGCGTGAGTGACATCTGTGCAGGGCTGAGTGGTGGAGCAGGACCCACCCAGTGGCAGGCTGCTCGACCTGTCCATGAGTGGCCATACTGCTTTCAGAAGCCCTGTCATGCAGCACTGTGATGTGCGGGGAGTCCTGTCCCCGCATGGAGGAGGCAGCAGACAAAAGGCTTTGGGGCGAAGTGAGAAGACTTTTCTGGAAGACTCTTAAGAGGGGTGCTATTCAGGGGTGCTGAAAGCTGAGCTGGGTTCTCAGCACCACCTTCACCTTCAGGGGCCACAGGGCCTGGACACCACCCCCTTGGTTGGTGATACCATGATGACCTGAGGTCCAAGGTCCTTCCAAAGGCAGAAATCTCTGAAAACCCTTCCCTCACACTCAGGGAATGCCAAGAAGCAGGACCCTGGGGTCAGGGAACAGTCCAGGGCGGATCCAAGCCCAGTGGGAAAGGCGAAGGGAACTTGCCGGAGACCAATTCCAGCATGACAGCAGGGCTGCATCTGGGAATGGCTAAAGGCATTTCCCCAAACCTGAATAGGATACATTAAATTGATTTCTTGGCTGCCAGACAGCTAAAAGGCATCTTAATCTACATGTTATTGCCTCCTACTGTCCAAACACCTGAACAGCCTTAGGCTAATTCCCCCATTCTGACAATGTTTCTGTATACCCTTTGAAGTGTATATCTCTGCCTTGCCTCAGGACAAGTTGTGTTAATAAAAAGCATGGGGTCCTGGGGCAAAGGAGAACCTAAGACCTGAGAACCTAAGACCTTAGACATAAGACCTTAGAACTTAGCTCCTTTAGTTAAGCTCCTCTGACCCCCAAATGCCTTTCAAAATTATATCTCGTCTCCGGACTCTTATTTAACATCTACGCACAGCCTTCTCCAGATTCCTGAACCCTTCTTGATGATAGGACAAGAGCACCAACATAGGAACTGAGGTTCAGATGCTGAAATAACATCCTGGGACCCTGGACCTCTCAGCTGAGGCCCCTTAGGCCCTACTCCCCCAACCCAGGCCAGGTGTCAAACCTGTGGGGGCTGGAGGTGAGACCTTGGCCCAGAAGACTGTGAGGGAGCTGTCATGAGGTCTTGTCCTGGTCCCTGCACAGTTCATTCAGGCAACTGTTATGGGTTCAATCAGCGAGATAGACCACCGACTCAAAATTTAAATTTAAGAGCCTTTATTAAGCTGGCCAGCTGACTACAGTTGTGTCCTTCCCGTAGGAGCCTCACAACTTGCAGTGCTGACCGAGAGTACAGCAAGACCTTTTATCTGCAAAGACTTCAAAGTATTTTTTTAAAAAAAGAAAAAAACAAACTGCAAAGCGGTTCATTAGCCGTTCCTGGTACTGGCAGGGTAAAAAGTTTACATAACATTTATGAGCAGGGTCACACCTGGCTGGGTTTAATCATAACACATTGCTTTTCTAGCGAGATAATTACCAATTTTTCTCTCCCATGGTCCCTGCCCCTAGCACACAACCACCCCTCTACTTGGCTTGGGACCAGCCATACACTGTTCACCTGGGGAAGGGTGCTTATGGGAGGTCTTGACCATGGAGTGGGATGGGTAGACCTGGCCCAGAGTGAGGGGCGTTGCTTCAGTGAAGGACTGAGCAGGCAGTTCTGAAAGGGAGCTTCCTGAGAAGATACTGTGAACATACACCACCTGGACTGGGCCTCAGTTTCTCCAGGAGGGCCTTGCCCAGCCAGTGTGGCTCAATGGTTGAGGTTTAGCGCATGAACCAAGAGGTCACTAGTTCGATTCCAGGTTGGGCACATGCCCGGGTTAGGGCTTAATCCCTAGTAGGGGGTGTGCAGGAGGCAGCTCATCAATGACTCTCTCTCATCATTGATGTTCCTAGCTCTCTCCTTCTCATCTTCCTCTCTCTGAAATCAATAAAACATATTTAAAAAAATAACAAGGGTGGCCACACTTGGGAGACCAGTCCTTTGGCACCTGGGCAACCCTTCTCAAGTTTTGAGTGTGTGAATGGGTGAAAGAATCTGGCTCTGCCACCCTGAACCTACTCCTGGCTGGGCAGCCCAGCTTCCTGGCCTCTGTTTGTCACTGGGTGCCAGACCAGGGCTATGCAATGGCCAAGGAGTTGATTTGTACACTGCTGGGTTTGAGCTGACTTGGCACACATACTGCCATCTCTGAAATGCAGTTTGTGATTTTGTAAAATGGGACAAGAATGTAAGTTTGCAACAAGGTGATGGCCAAGCTGGTGCCGGGCCGGTGCCGAGTTTGTCCTGCTGCTGCTGTGTCCCTGGTGAGCCCGGCTGCAGCTGCACACTATGCCCTCTGTTTTTCAGGGGCCTCCCTTGGCAGCCTGGACAGCCTCAGCCATACCCTGGGCATCCTGGAGGAACGGATCAACAGTTCAAGGCGCAGGGCACGCAGACATGCTGCCGATGACGACTACAACATTGAGGTCCTGCTGGGTGTGGATGATTCTGTGGTCCAGTTCCACGGGAAGGAACACGTGCAGAAGTACCTGCTCACACTCATGAACATTGTAAGTGGGGCGGGGTGAAGGAGGTGCAGGTGGGCACCTGTGCTTTCTGTGGTTTCCTAGTGGATCTAGGGATGAGTTATGTGGCTACAGGGAAGCTCTCTGGGTCCACAGGTGAGAAAATGTAAACTTCCCATCAGCCAAACTGAACCTGAGTTTTCTCATCTGTAAATGGGGCATATTCTGACTTGGCAAGGCTGTGTACACACTGAGGCCATTTCCCCAAACTCCAGTCATTTGTCTCAGTTTTCTTTATTTTTGCCATACTGCACTGTGCCTGGACTGTGTATTTTCCTATAAATGAACTGACTTTTTAAAACTTAAAATTATTTACAAAGGAAACCTCACTTTACATAAAGGTAACCTAAAAGTAAAACGTAACGTAATAAAAAAGAGATATTGGTGTGTGTCCCCCAAGGGGACAGACAGACTAACACCCATCCAGGCTTCTCCTGGAGTAGGCAGAGGAATGGAAGCTTGAAGAGGGGATCCATTTCTCCCTGCGAAGCTGTGCTATGTAATGGGGTGTTTGTGTGCCACACGTGCCTTCTGGGGCATGATGAGGCACTTGCCCCTTGTCTACCCAATGCGGAGAGATTAAGGTGTCACCCCCTTGTTTACCCAACAGGAGAGATTAAGGAGTTGTCCCCACATTACAATCCCCACACCCCACCCCAGGAGGCATGGGGATGCTGCCTAATTGGCCAGCAGAGGGCGCAGTCCTACCTCTTCCCTGTCTGGTATGGAGAGCCTTCCCCCTCATTGCTTGATGCTTGGTCAGGGTCACCTTGAGGATGTGAGGCATCCAGTCTCCAAAGTGCAAGCCCTAGGGGCAGCGTTAAGCTCAGCTGAGCCCAGTCTGGAGAGCTAGGGTGGGAGGGAGGAGCAGGGTTCATCCTGTGTGTAGGACCTTGGTGGGAAGTACACATTTGTGGAAGGAGCAGGCGTTTGCAGGCGGGAGGTGGGCAGGGAAGCCCAAAGCTGGGGAATTGGAAAGCAGTGGGGCTGTGTGCCCCAGTCTTATGAGCCTTGGTTTTCTCATCTTTAAAATGGATTGATAATTTCCATTTCAGGGTGAAGATTAAATGAGATAATGGGAGGTGAACAGTTCAGCTACTAAATAAAATGTGGTTTTGCTATCATGATGGTAACAGTACTTAATTCATCAGCAGCACATCTAGAATTATCCTTGAGAAGTATGCCAAGGACTTGGAAGTTGGGAGTATCCCAGATGAAATCTTCCTGAGGCTGGTGGAACGAATTCGCCTTGGTGTGGTGGGTCCCTCTCTCACATACACCTGCTGCGGCATGAGCCTGTAGGAGGAAGTCTAGAACTTTCTCTTGGTTTTACCAGTTAACTTCAGTTTATTTATTTACATCCTCATGATCCAACTGTACCTCAATTTTAAATAATGGGATGGTTGGGTTCATTTCTTGAAATGCATAAGAAATGTAAAAATTCTTAAATTGAAACAAATTTTATCATAACAAAAAAGGATTTTAGGAGATAATTCAAGGAGCTATAAAAAAGAGTAGTTGGGCCGTGTCTTTTTCCCTGTTTCAAGTGTTCATTGGACACATGTTTGTCCAAGGCACAGGGCAATGGAGGGATCTGAGCTCCGCCTCCCACCTTGAGTGCAGTGTGGTGGAAGGAGATGAGATGGGTTCTTGAGGCATGTGTTACCCTGACAATTAATACCCTCTGGGCTCTGTATCCTCATTTAGGGCTGCACACCCAGGAGAGAGTCCTGTGGGTTGATCTAAGACACACAGAGCCCTCTTGGGGAGGAGGGGATAGAGGAAAAGTGAATATGTGAGAAAGGACCTTCCAGAGCAAGACTGTCTAATAGAGCTTTCTGCAGTCCAGGAGATGCTCTAATTCTGCCATCCATTCAACAGCCACCAGCGACCCCCACCCTTGAGCACTTGAAATGTGGTTGGTGTGATTGCAGAACTGAAATATTAAATTTTTTTCAATAGAATTTTTTTTAATATAAAGTTTTTTAAAATTCTGGTAAAATACATGTAACATAAAACTTACTGTCTTTGCCATTTTTAAGTATACACAGTTTAGTGGTATTTAGTACATTTATATTGTTATGCAACCATCACCACCATCCATCTCCAGGACTCTTTTCATCTTGCAAAACTGAAATTCTGTCCCCATTCTCTTCTCCCACAAGTCCCTAGGAAACACCACTCTGCTGCCTGTCTCTATGAATTTTACTGCTCTAGGGACCCCATATAAGTGGAACATATCATACAGTATATGTCCTTTTGTGACTGGCTTATTTCACTTAGCACGTGTCTTCAAGGTTCATGCATATTGTAGTAGGTGTCAGGATTTCTGTCCTTTTTAAGGCTGAATAAGATTCCATTGTTTAGACAGACCACATTCTGTGTACCCATTTATCTATTGATGGACACTTGGATTGCTTCCACCTTCTGGCTGTTGTGAATATGCTGCTATGCACCTGGGTGTAGAGTGTCTGTCTGTTCTTGTTCCTGCTTTTAGTTCTTTTGTGTCTATACCCAAAAGTGGAATTGCTGAAACATAAAGCAATTCTGTTTTTAATTTTTTGAGGACCCTCTATACTCTTTTCCACAGTACCTGCATCATTTTACATTCCTACTAATAGGGCCCAAGTGTTCCCATGTCTCCACATTCCCACCAACACTTGTTATCTGTGATAACAGCCATCCTAATGGGTAAGTTAATATTTGTAATTAATTTGCATTAGCATTTAAATCACCAATGTGGCTAGAGGCTTCCATATGCAGACTGGTGATTTAATGCAATCCCAAAAGAGTTGCGCACAAGGGGACTGCCTGTTGTCCCCTTCCTCTGAACTTGACCAGGCCTATGGTGCTAAACAGCAGTGTGGGAAGCCTCAGTGTGGGGCCTGGACCCCGTGAAGGTGCTGGCTCACCTGAGGCTGCAACCAGAGTCCTGAGTAACCTGAGGAGGCCTGGCCAGGGCACATCTCCCTCTCCTTATAAGTGAGCTGGTTACTGGGCTGTGTTGGATCCAAAGTCAATGACATGGAGGACAGATGTGGTAGCAGCCAGCCCATACTGCATTCCAAGTGAGGCATTTGGTCAGCTGTGAGGACAGCCAAGGCCAGGGCAGAGTGCTCCCAGCGTCAAGACTGTGGGACCAGGCCTGGGTGGACCCAGTTTGTCCCCTGAGAAAGGCCATGGAGGCCCACCCTGGGAGTAGGATGCTCTGGTGTGGATCCCTATGGTAGGGGCCCCTAGGGTAAGGGCTCTAGGAATGTATGGTGCAAAGAGGAGGAGAGGCCCAGGTGAGCTGGACACAGGTGTGGCTAGACCTTGGCAGCTCTCAGTTCCTTTGGTTTCTTCTGTCGCTCAAGGTGCTTCTTCCTATAAGGCTCCCATTGGGATCTCTCTGTGGCAGAGCCCAGGCTGCGATGTGGGTCTTCATGTGACATAGACATTTTAGGTTCATCAAATATCCATGTGCTCCCCTCTTCCCTTCTGTTTCCCAGCCTCCTGTGCACTTAATTTGGGGCTGTGTGCCAGGAATTGACATGTGTCACCTTCTGGCCGAGGCAGTTAAGAACCGGCATATCCTCTCCTCCTCTTCCTTTACTTTTCCTTAAGCTGAATTTCAAAAGTTCAATCCCTGGTTAACAATAGGTGCATTTTAAAGCTCTCAATGCTAGAATGTTCTCTGTTATTTCGCCTATTCATGCTCCTTGGATCAATTGCCTAACTCCTACCTGCTCATAGCACCGAGTCCTTCTTAGCTGTGGTACATTGAGAGCCACAACCAGGATAGGCTTTTTGTTGTAAGTTATATTTATTTGATAGTAATGAGATTGCACTTAAAAAATATGTATATTTTAAAACAGTGATTATCTTATAGTTTTATGATTGGCTAACTTATGTCCTTTATTTTACTGGGAGTTGAATTTCTTTCTTGTTACTTTGAAGAAGTTTTATATTTAAACTAGAGGCCCAGTGCATGGATTCGTGCACCGGTGGGGTCCCGCGGCCTGGCCTGTGGGGATCGGGCCAAAACTGGCTCTCCGACATCCCCCGAGGGGTCCCGGATTGCAAGAGGGTGCAGGCCAGGCTAAGGGACCCCACCGGTGCACAATCGGGGCCAGAGAGGAACTGTGGGAGGGCTCCAGGGCGTGTCCGGCACATCTCATCCAGTCCCAATCGGCTGGACCCCAGAAGCAAGCTACATTACCAGTCGGAGCGTCTACCCCCTGGTGGTCAGTGCACGTCATAGCAACTGGTTGAACGGTCAAACAGTCAGACACGTAGCATGTTAGGCTTTTATTATATTGGACTAGAGGCCCAGTGCACAAAATTCGTGCACGGGGGGGGGGGTCCCTCAGCCTGGCCTGCACCCTCTCCAATCCGGGACCCCTCAGGGGATGTCCGACTGCCAGTTTAGGCCTGATCCCATAGGGGTTGGGTCTAAACCCGCAGTTGGACATCCCTCTCACAATCCAGGACCGCTGGCTCCTAACCACTCACCTGCCTGCCTGCCTGATCACCCCTAACCACTCTACCTGCCTGCCTGATCTCCCCCTAACTGGTCCCCTGTCAGCCTGGTCTCGCCTGATCTCAACCCTAACTGCTTGCTCCCCCCGTGCCAGCCTGATCGTGCCCCTAACTGCTTGCTCCCCTGCTGGCCTGATTGCCCCTAACTGCCTCTGCCTTGGCCCCTGCCACCGTGCCTAACTGCCTCTGCCTCAGCCCCCACCACCGTGGCTTTGTGAGGGAGGAAGTCGGACGTCCAGAAGACATCCAGTCGATCTGGTCTAATTAGCATATTACCCTTTTATTAGTATAGATAGCTTAACTTTTTGGCTGTTGCCTGGGTGGGAAATAGTCTTCCCAGTTTTATGGTTTGCCATTGTTTTGTTTTGTGTGGGATTGTTTTTTGATGGCTTGCATATTTGTGTGTAGTCATGTTCTGAGGCCTTGGGCTCCCCAGTTTTACTTTGGGTGCTGTGTTTGGCACT